CCCCAAAATTCCTGAAGCCTGAAATGCGAAAGCATTGGCAGGGATCAAATTTCACCTGAATTCCTAAAATCCTGGCATCTATGGGGAATGCTGGGCTATAGTTGCTCAGATTTTGGGAATTTTGGGGAAATTTGATCCCTGCCGATGTTTTCGCATTTCAGGCTTCCGGAATTTTGGGGAAATTTGATCCCTGCCGATGTTTTCGCATCCAAGGGTGCCCACGTCCCATAATCTACTGCTTTCAAAAAGGGGGCTCGGGTGGATCATGGGGGGGGGGGGGCGTGAGCATATATATATATATATATATGTTCTCAAACAGGCACCCTAAACCCTAAACCCTAGGTTACTTGAATTTGGGGTTCAGGTTTCACTTTAATTAAACATCTTTAGACCAACACATAAGCCTTTCAAGCCTGCTTCCATCGCTGGAGCCCTGTGGATCTTCAGATCTTCCCCAGGACTTTCTGCGCCACTTCGGGGTCCTCAAGGCATCGGACAGCGGCAGTTAGGATTTAGGGTTTAGGGCTTTGGGGGATCATTGAACAGGTTAGGCTTTGGGGTCTCCTCTTTAGCTTCGGAGGTGGTATTATCTAGGGAGTCGTTAATGGGTCTGCGTAGATTGTTCTTATGCTCTTACCCGTGTACAGGCTTGTATATCGTGAATGCGCGCACGCACATGCACACAATCCACCCTTCCCTCTTTCCATCCATCCATCCATCCATCCATCCATCCATCCATCCATCCATCCATCCATCCATCCATCCATCCATCCATCCATCCATGCGTACATTCGTACACATATGCATACATACAAACACATAATCAGTACAAGTTCAGCATACACGCACATGTGGAGAAAGAGTTGCCCGAGCCCTGGACCACGACAACTGACTGAAACCTTAATCAGACTGCGGATCTCAGTGCGCTGACATGGCCTACTTGACTTTGAAATTACTTTTAGCATTCGCGGGCGGTCGCCAACATCGAGTTCTGGCGGACGCAGAAGCTTGGATTTGGCAGTAGATTAAGGCTGTAGGCGCAGCTGTCGTTTCATTCCCTAAGGGTCCATGTATTCATATGGCACATACATGGGCCCTAAAGTACCTATATAGCGACTACATTAAGGCCAATGTATATACTATATGAGCACATGGACCCTTAGGGATTTGTTAAAACAGTCAGAACCCTTCGGCTTAGGTCCTGACTTCCAAGACCTAAACCCTGAACCGAAACCCCAGATCCTGAAGCCTGAACCCTAAGCCCCTCCCTAAACCCCAAACTGCCCTAAACACTAAACCCTAAACCGAAGACCCTAAACTACAAATCCCCAAACCCTAAACCCGGAGGATCCCCCGACTAACGAGGACCCTGCCTTTGGGTTCGGGGCCTGGTTTGGGGTAGTTTCGGGCTTTCAGGGTTTAGGGTGAGGGTTTAGGGTTTAATCGACGTGTCGCTGAGGGTTTAGTTTTTCGGCGGCTTAGTCTAGCAGGCCTGTGAGACTGGAAGGACTCATGCTTCGAGGCCTTCGGCCCTCAAGCAACTAATACCTCACAAGAAGATTCCGGTTTAGGGTTTAGGGAAGAAGATGCATTATGGAACAGCCTCTAGAACAAGCTCCATGTGCAAAGCAACTCTTCGTGTGTCAGGCGGCTACTTCCGCCGCCGACGGCAGAGCTCCCGAGGAAGCCTCCCCCATCCGATCTGGTTGCGGTTTAGCTTGAGTAGACTAGTGCATGATGGGGCTACCAGTGGGAGTCACGAACCCTGAGTTTCTGAATGAAGGGATAGTGAAGTCGAAGAGGCAGAGGGCATCGAATAGAGAGCACTTGACATCCCTCAGAAGCGAAACTTCGAATGTCAGTATACAGCTTTTGCAGAAGCCCTACTAAACCATCGCCATTTGGGTACGGGGAACCTTTAGAATGCATCTAGAAACACCGTAGAATCCTAGACCCTGAACCTCACGCCGAACCTCAAACTACAAAGCCGACCCAAAACATGCCCTAAGGGTCCATGTGCTCATATACGTTGGCCTTAATGCAGTCCCTATATAGGTACTTTAGGGCCCATGTATAAGCTACATGACTACATGGACCCCCTCAGGGATGAATGTCGGCAGCCAGAGCCCTCGGAGATGCAAAGGTTTTGGGTTTAGGGTTTAGGGTTTAGGGTTTAGGTATAGAGCTAGGCCTTTGGCACACCTGTTGGGCTGATGAGATCTTGTGCATTCCGTAAGTATAGGCAGACGCTATTCATGACTTACTGAAGAACTAACTGTACTAGGCTTGAGACAAGGTATTGAAGTCTACAGCAGACCCATAATATGACCCATCACAACCCCATGTGTCACCTGCTGTGCAATCCTTATCGGAACCGTAAACCCTAAACCCGAAACCCTAAGCGATCCGTCCAATGCCAGGGCATATGCCCAAGAATGGGCTTCCGCCTTATACGCCCAGCCCAGCAAGAAGCTCATCAAGACCCCATTGCCCGACGAACCCAGATAAGAAACTCCTTTGCGGTTGCGCAGCCTCAGCAAACCCTATCAAGCCACAAAAAATTACACGAACAAACCTGCAAAGCCTGACAAAATGGTACCACAAACCCCATAAACCCTCTTCAGATTCTTACACAATGTCAACTTCAGCTCCTAAACCCAAAACCCTAAAACCCTCAGGCCCTAAACCCTAAAACCCTAAACCCTCTTAGCCCTATAAACCCTGTAATCCCTATACTTCCAGCCCCATAAAACCCCAAACCCTAAACCTCAACCCCTAAACCCGAACCCCTGGACCCTAAACCCTAAACCCCTAAACCCTCAACCCCTAGACCC